GACCTTTGTGCCTGTGGACAAGCGAGGGAATCAGTGGAACACTTTCTTTTCCGATGCGTGAGATGGACAGCTCTGAGGGAAGACATGCTGCAATGCACAGTGGCAAGACGAGGAAGCCTCTCGTTCTATCTGGGAGGGAAAGCGCCATCAGATACAAGGCATTGGTCACCAGATATGAAGGCAGTCCGGGCGACGATCAAATACGCAATGGCAACAGGAAGGCTGGAGCTGAATGAGGAGGAGAGTCTAGACCAGTCACAGCAGAAGAAGCCGACACTCAACACCACGAGCCTCAACCACGAGCCTTAACCAGCAGGTCTCGCTTTAGCTGCGAAGATAGGACGAGGACCACCCCCCTCCCTCCTCGTCCCCCCGCCTCTCTCCAACCCAACCCCCCAACCCCCGGCAAAGTTGGGACCGCTAGGACGCGGGGACCGCTCTCCCACGCTCGCCTTAGGATCACCGCCTTGCTCATGCTTTGAGACGGCGAAGTGCGGGAGCCGGGCCGGTCGCTGGGGCGAGGATCTTGAGACGTGGACCGGCGGGTTGGCAGACACGCAGGGTCTGGAACGCTGCCATCCGATCAGGTGAGCTCGGGCGGGATGCCGATGACCTGGTACATATCTCGGGCCCGGGCGCCGAACAACTTTTCTCCTCGTCTTGTAGGAATACGTACGTGTGTGTATGATGTACCTGCGAACACTCACATCCATCATCCATGCAATGGCATGTCTCTCGTCCTCTCGGCTTGCCCGCGACACCAAGCACAAGCACAAGCACAAGCACAAGCGCAAGCACGCCCTGCGAGGTATGTATTCCGTACATACATTGACTCCAGTTTGCTGCTGTCTTGGGACAGCCACCGACCCGGCGGAATGGACGGCGGTGCGCCAGGTTGGCGATCACTGGGCAATGAGCGACGGAGAAGCTGGGCAGCTGTCCCAGAGCAACATGGCCGAGCCAGCGCGCAGCGTGTGCTGAGGAGCTACTTGCTGACGCCGGGCATGCTGGGCTCCATCGCAAGGTGCTAGCGCTACCTGACCTCGCTGAGCGACAGCGAGACCAAACAAAGTCTGACCAAACGGCTCAGCTCGAAATTAGCCCCGGCTCATCCCTTTGGATGACGAGCTCTCACCGCCTTGCACGGTTAAGAAGTGATTGCAGCCAAGCTGCATGCATGCATGCTGCGTGCGTGCACATTTCTCCACGACCCTCGACGTGCTGGCGTACCCGTGGGCACGTCGGTTGTGGATCTGAGGTCAGTGGTGCGTCCAGCGTCCAGGGGGTCTCGACGGACCCTGGGCACGGAGTCACGGGAGTGGTCGGCTTGTCGGGGGGCAGGCTGCACTAGCGTCTTCGGTAACGGGACAGCGCCGTTGGCAGCTGCCAGTGGTTGGTGTTGATTTGTCCTCCACACACCTTCGCTCTCTCTCCGCTTACACCAAAGCGAGCAGCCGGATGGGCTAAAGGTGGCGGCGACGGCGGCGGCGGCGGCGGCAGCGGCAGCAGCTCATCAAGCCCAGTGCTCTGGCATGGCACGCGGATCTCCACTCACGACTAGGGAGGGAGCCCGAGATGTCGGGCAGCGCGTCTCTCTCTCGAGTGGAGCGGAAAAATTACCCGCTGCAAGCTCGGGCTAGCCAAACATAATACCTAGCAGAAAAAAAAAACTCGGGCAGGCCGGGGAGGGGCGTGCAAGATTCATCACGTCGAGGGTGTGAGCCGTGGCATGACACGGGTAGGTAGCCTGAAGGAGGAAAAGAGAAAACGAAGTCGAAACCGGAGAGGGCCCGTTCGGCGCCAGAAGAACCTGGAAGCCGCAGTCTGCTTTTGGGCAGCGCCGTCTTCACCGCGGACCGCGGGAGCCTCGGGTGTCTCGAGTCCGGCCGAGTCCTGCATTGTCTGACAGACAGACATGCTTGTCAGGGCTTAGAGAAGAGGACCGGCCTCTGCAAAAAGCGGCAAACGAAGTTAATCGATGACGGTCCATGACTGACATGAACCATGAACTGCCGTCTCGGGGAAGGGCGTCACACAAACCCTCCCTCGGCTCCCCCCTGCCTGAGACGAGCCAGATATTTCCAGACTTGCAATGGCACGGGGCCCGATTTGACGGCAATCCTTTCAATTTAAATCTATTCCGGCGGATTGACGGGAGAACGACAGACATGCTCGTCCAAACAAAGTCGAGATGACATGTTCCATGGCCGGGGGGGAGACGAGACATGGACCAAGAAGTCCCGGGGAACGGTCAAGCGCAACATTCTTCATGCGGCCAGATCCGGTAGCCAGCCAGGGATGGGAATGTCCTGCTCCGGAGTCTTCCTCTTTCAGCTCTGAGACGAAATCTTCTACCTTTTCCGGTAGGGTAATCCAATCTCCATCACCGGCGGCACAAGCCGATCCCTCCTTGGCGTCAACTTGGAGCTCACCCTTCCCACTGGCAAAACCCAAAACCACTCGGTTCGCGTCATCAAGGCCCGCCTCCCGTGGCGGATCCCGTCCCGCCTCTTAAAAAAAACCCTCGTCTCCAGTGCCCGGGCCTCGGGATGCAATGCCACGACAACTCATCCTTCCCTCCCTTGTCTTTTCTTTTCTCTTCCCTGTCCTCCCTTTGACCTCCCTTCCCGACTTCTCCATGCCTCCCGAGCCTCCCCCCCCCAGGCTTGGGCTCACCGACACAACGATAATGCAGGACAGATGCAGCTAATTCGACCGGTCAGGGAGTGGAGTCGCATCTTCCCGGGCAGGACCCCCAAACCGCACTCAAAGATCCATGAGCTTCCGGAAGTTGTCGTTGCTGATCGTAGAGTAGGTGGGCCTGGCCCGGCTGTTAGGGACCGCATGGAACACCGTCATACTTTTCGGCACCTGCTGCAACCGCGGCTTGCATATCCAATCGAGAAACGTGTTGCTCGGGCAGCACAGGGCAAGCCAACTGCGCGCCATGGCTGCACAACAGCACAGGACCACCACATCCCGGGGGCTGTTCTGGACGTCACGAAAAGGCCGGTCCGAGCACACAAGATTGTCCATGTGGGCGAGAGAGTCTCGAAGCCCCATGGCCTTTCTTTCCTTCCATTCTACCGCATTTCCCGATTCGCTATCCATGGCAGCCATGCGCCTGACTTGGGTGTGTCTGTATGTATGTACATACATCACTACATACACTACATCCTTACGAAACATCCATCTATCTAGGTGCGTTCCGGCCCTCTCGTCGACGCCACTCAGCACGGTCCAAGCTCTTGCATACCGCACCCGAGGTCCGCCTCCCGGTTCGGCATCGGCATATTTCTCATCGAATCCTCCAGCTTTTGGGGGCCGCGCCCGCGGGCCCATGCGCGTACCCGGCCGGAAACCTGCTGCTGGCGTCAGCGAACGTGCATTTGATGCTGCAGAAGACCCTTGACCACTTCGAACTGGCTTTGACCCCCTTGGTTCTCCTCCTGAATTTTACATACAAAACATCAACACGACGCGGAAGAGAGAAGATAAACGACAGCGAGACAGGCGAGACGTGTGAGACGACGGCACCGAGTGGACCGCCGGAACCCGAGACCCCCCACCACCATGATGTCGCAGGCCGCATCAAGCCATCGGTTTCACAAGGCTGAGACCGTGGGCGCCGGTAAAGCAGACCTACGTACCGCAGTATGTATGTACGTATATGTATGTACATACATACATAGGTACATACATACATACACAAACACACATGTACGGATGTCACCCCGCCTTAGCGACCTATGTATGTGCTTAGATCTGGGGTAAGAAGGGGGTGTTTCGCACCTATCGGTGGCGATCCCCCGCATTTCGCTGGCCTGCCTGTGACATATCGCCCTCGCCCAGAGACGCAGTAGGCCTCTGTTCGGAAGACGTGGGGTGACCGGTTAACGAGCCCGTGCCAGTCGTTGGCTTGGTGGGGGGCTTGTCCGACGTGCCTGTCCGATGTTTGTCGTGCGTCTCTAGATCATGAGACCTCAAAATATCACTCAGAGAAACGAACCCGGTTTCAACCTAGTCGGCTTCGATCCCCTCCCTCCTCCTGTGAGCCTGGGAGGGGGCGGCGAGAATGGCCCGGGCCGCTCTCCGAGCTCCTGCCACCGAACTTCCTCGGCCGCCACGGATCAAGCAACTTTCTGCTGCTGCAATGTCATCCTGCCCCAGTCTGCATGTCAGCCCAAGGCACAAGTGTATGTGATCAGTATGTCTCTCTTGCAGCAGCAGCCGGGAGAGTGCCTCCCTGTCTTCCTTCCTGCGTGGATGCTGCAGGGTACACGTGGGGGTCTATCGAGCTCAGGCTGGCTTAGCTCGCTCTTCCCCGCCCTCAGGATCCTTCTCTTTCTGATGCCTCGGCTGTTGTTGCTGTTCACCGCCCGGGAAACTGAAGCGGGGTTTGCGGGTGGCAGGCCCCGGCAACCCGGCGCGCGTGAGGCGGCAACAAATGGGGCCGGGGTCCGGGACGGGGGTTAACCGTGTCGGCGCCAACCCCTAATCCGGGCCGAACAATCCACCGACCGCCGTCTGCCGGGGGGCAAATTGTACCTATATAACCTCAGCACCCAACCGTCGGTAGCGATAGGCTGCCGGGACATTCTGTAGCTGACCCCAACCGGGCTGTTGACGCCAACTCACCTTACACAGCAACAAATGCCACCAATGATACCGCAAACCTAGAACGTTACAAGAAAAACCAGAGGTCATAGGCAAGGTTGTTGCGTTCTAGCAGCGCATATAGTATGTGCAGGTCATGCAATAATACAGAAAAGCAATTCCTCCTGACTTTGGTTCCAGTTCCTTTGACATGACCGGCGGCGAAGCGGAATGTGGAGCTGCCTCGGCCCTCGATGACTTGTACTACGCCGACACCTTTTACCCCTTTTGAGGTGTACTGTACGGCTCCCATACGACCGCGCTAGATGAGGGCTTATCCCCAATCCTGAACTGTCACCCTTCGGAGATGGCTTGTACTGCCAGGTAATCTACGGGACAGTTTCTCACTTGCTTTATGTCCACCCCATTTTTTATCTTTCAGACCCCGGCTTGCGCTGGTCACCTCAACGTCCGTGGCACGTGTGACCTTGCTTTCTTTGTTTATATTTCCCCTGAAGTGGTCGTCGCCTTAGGGAACTCTCAATAACTAGCAGCTGTGGCTGATTAATCGCAGAAGATCACCAACACACAACACAACGTTCACCAAAGCACGGCCTCAAACCCAACAATCACTCAGTCCAGAGGTCTCGCATCGTACATCCGCCAATAACTAACCCAACCCCTCAGAATCAGTTGTTGATCTGACGTTGACAACTGAACCTCCCCGCCACCTCAACAGCCTAGCGCCCACCAACAAACGACTTTGGGTGAGACACCCTCCACCACCAACCAATCCGAACCGCGAGCTGATGTGCAGAGGTCTCAGAACTGGGCCCCACCCCGAAGACGCCGCCCTCACACACCCACCACCGGGTACGGTCCCCCGACGCAGCTGGAGACAACAACACACCACCCGCCCGCCATCCTTGCTTTCCACTCTCACCACCTACCCGAAAGGGGGAGGGGGGTGAAGGGACGGGGTGGTTGCTACAACTATCCAGACTCTCCTAATAAGCAAAAGCAATAGGTACCGAGTGTACACTAGTTATCGTGTCCCCAATACGAGACGTCATTCCAGCTCCAGACCCTAGCCCCCATTTCCCGCATCTGGGCGCGCGCCGCCCGCACTTCCGAATGGGGTCTGTTGCAGGCTTGCAGCATGCAGCCCCTCCAAATCATCGGACTGTTTGGAGAGGGCCGGGGCTTTGCAGGATGCTCACGGGCGGGTTGGTTTTGAGGAGACTGGGGGGGGGGGGGGGGGAATGGGCTGGCCCCTCTCAAAATGTGTAGCCATCAGCAATAACTAGCAATGAAT